CCTGGTGTGCGGGCCAGCTGGGAGCTGTGGGGTGAAATAGTTCCTCTGCAGCCCTGCCTTCTAAGGGGGATCTGTCACCTCGATCAATAAGTGGGGCTCTTCCTTCAGCACCAGAACTGACCAGATAATGTCATGAGGACAAGCTCCCATGGCACTGTCTGTAAGAGTGGGGGTTTGGGATCTGGAAGAGCTGAGTCATGAGCAGATTCCGTGCAGTCTGGCCTTCCTGAAATCCCCTCTTTCTCCCTTCCTCACCCAGCCCGCTGTGCATGATGTAGAGGGATCCCCGCCCCCCGTTTTGCACTGGGCTTGGGATTCTTGGGGATGAATGGCCCTGTTTCAGGTCGAGGAGGTATTTGGAATAAAAGAACGGTGATGCAGCTCGTGAGGAGGCCCCTTGTTCATGTGGACTCACGATGCCCCTGTGTCTGCTGTCGGTTGTGTCTCTCAAGGTGCTCCGGCCCTGCTGCAGGGACCACAGGCAGACCAGGAGCTCCAGCTGTGGAGCGAGGTGAGGGCGGCGCTGCCACAGTGCTCTCTGCTGGGGCACTTGGCTGTTGAGGGCTTCCCATAATCATATGTGCTGTATGTATTCTGCAATAAGGGCACTTGTTAATTACCCATGCATTAGATATACTGTATAATATAAAATACCTATTATGCATCTAGATTTTATATGTTATGATACATTTATATTAGTGCAATTCTAATAAACACTTAAGCAAGATTATAGGCAGTGTTTATAAGAGCATTTGCAATGTATTGCAGAGACCCCTTGAGGACTCCCGGGGGGAGTTTGCTCCTACCAGCATAGTAAAGAAAGTCTACTTCCTTCACACACTAAACTAATCTCATCACAAGTATGGGCACAATACATTCCTATTTTTTGAGAAATGAAAGGGATCCGTAGTGAAGTTAAATTTTTCCTAATTGTTCCAAACAGATATTAATTACAGTGAATGAAGGGCCAGATCATTCTGTACAGAGAACCAGACTATCCACAGGACTAAAATTGCATCCTTTGTACTCGTCCCGAGAACTTTAAAAACATGCAATTCCTTCTGTAGATAGATGACCTCTGTTCCTCTTACCTCTCTGCTGACCTTCAGTCTCAGGTGAGTGGCATCTGGGTCTGGTTCTAGAAAATTGTGAGCAGTTTGCAGTGAAGTCAGTGAAGTTGAATGTGCTGAACCCCTCCTCATGCTCTGTGTCTTGTTGCTAGGCGCCCAGCGTCCTGGAAGAACTTTGCTACTCAGTCATGGGGATCGTACACAAGTCTCAGGTAGGGACAGCATCCTTCCAAAAGAACTGCAGGCATGCTTTCCTTTCCTTCCAAGAGTGCGTTGCCATGGGATATCCAGGGAGGGAGATTGGTAAATCTGTCTACAGAGCAGCAGTCAGAAATATCAACTGACCAGCACTCGCAGGTTGACCACAGCAGGAGATACAGGACAGTCAGGGTAAATGAGACAGGGAGCTGTCTGCCATTGCTCAGACAATGATACCAGCTGTGTTAAAAGAATGCAAACAGGAAGGCTCCACAGGAAAAAACACCTCTCCTTTACCTGCTTGACTGTCCTAAACTGTTTACGTGCGGGACAATTATACCAAAAATCTAAAAGAAAGAGCAGCAGATGGATTTATTGATTCATGTCCTGCTGTGTGGCTGATGTGCGGCAGGTGTGATGGGTACCTGTTCACACCTGTGAATCGAAGGGCACACCTTCCTGTAAGAAAAAGGCTGAAGCAGGGAGACTCTGTACACAAGGGTGGCAGCGCGTGGGCTGTCCACACCCATGAGGACGTCCGAGATGATCAAAGGTTCAGAGATGGAAATTCTCCTCTTCCTACACTTCCATCAGACCTGAGTGGAGAACCACTTATCAGCAATGGCTGAATCTCCTGTTCCCCAGATGTGAGAGACGAGCTGGTGTCTCTCTGTTTTAACTAACTTATCTTCTGTAAATTGACATCTGAAGGCCATTCTCAGAGGTAAATTGGTGGAAATTAAGTTGGAAGTATGCTGTAAATGATATATATATATTATATATATTATTGTTGCAGAATAATGCTTGACCAAGAGGGCAAAAGGCCATGGCTCAGTGTTCATTGGCTTTTCCTGTATTTTCAGTTATATGTCTCAGAGGGTTTATGAGCTTGGCAATTAATCAAGGCAGGAAAATGAACAGAGACTCTTTCAGATCACATGTAACAGGAGGAAAGATGCCTATAATCTAGAAACGTTCTCTAGACAGGAATTATTGGTACTTTATTTCATTTTAACATCATAAACCTTTGAGCGACGGAGGACAGGATCGCTCTGAGATTCCTGCTGTTTCTCGGCTTTGATTTAAACCGATTTAGTGGATTTTTCTCCCAGAACAATATCCTGGAGGATCATTATTGTTTAATCAAATTAAGTGATTTCTTCAAGACCGAAAGGCTATGAAATTACCATGTCATTGGTAAAGAAAGTCCAAAACGTGTTTATTTTGACTTAGTAGCACTCATTGACCAACTGCTTTGAGACAGAATTTGATTCTATTTGGTCACAATCTTTTCTATAATCTCACAAACCCCTGGTGATTTTCCATTCTGTTCTTATTTCTCAACTGGTAATTTAATGAGTTCCTTTGTGACTCACAGACTGACTAATCAACTTCTCATGACCCAAGATAGTAATTTGCCTTTGAAGTAATCCGTGATTGTGATTTTATGGTGAATCTGGCTAGCACTCCAATTCTAAACACAACTAGGTTTGGCATAAACCATCTTCATCATACTGTCCTTGTTTCACAGTTTAACAATTAATATTTAGGACAGAGTGAACGACAGCTCTATCAAACAACACATAGTACGTGGTGATGATAGTGATAATTAAACTTTTACATAGTCTTATATAGTGCCTCTGAAAGTGATCTCATACAATCTAATCACAAATAACAAATAGCTGTATTAAAGTCTGAATTAACTAATTACATTGAGATCAAGCGTTCTTAGAGCTCTAGCCTCCCTGAGAGTTTTATTTCTTATTGTAAAGCACTTTGAGAAGCTACTTTTACAAGGCATATACAGTATAGGTGCAGGCAAAGCTTATATAGTTTGCTCATACAGTAGGTGTGCTGTTATGTGCCTGCATGAGCAAAAGTTGTTGTTGTCCACTGGTTTAAGTGAAAAGCATTTGGAAACACCTGAGCCCATATTCCTTTCCCTTTGTTTACAGGATGTACGAGCAAAGGAGCAGAGTAAAAGGGTAAGCAACATCAGAGGCATTCCAAAATCTTCCATTATGAGTTAAGTGAAAATGTACATCTGTGTAGGCACCTTGGTAAAAAAAAAAAAACATATCAACTTTTTTGTGCAGTTCTTATTTCATTACACAAAGAGCCACAACTCAGGCAGCTCTGACCCTGCGGTAAGTTGCTAAGCCCGTGCTCTCTTGGATTGTGTGTCCGCTTACATAGAAAGCCCTGTAGCTGTTTCTACAACATCTGCAAACCAGAAAGGACAGAACAGACACACCTCCCTGCACAACCAAACAGAACACACACACCT